GCGCGTTCTTCACTATCGAACGTCGCATGAATGCACGAATGCAACACGTCGTACGTCTATGACAAATCCACAGCTCACACCTCCTTCCGCACCTGTCCTACACTTACGCGATTCTTTGCAGCAGACTGACATCGAGCTGGAGGGGCTCCTGGTCCTCCCAGTCGTCGGAGAGGTCGCCGAGTAGGCTCCGCTGCCGCTCCACCTCCTGCACCGTCGCCGGCTCGTACTCCTGACCGTCCTCCAGCACACGGTACCCCCGTCCGTCCGCCACGTAGTTGACCGTCTGCACGCCGCGGTCAGGGGCAGGTCAAGGTCAGGGGAGCGCGGGTCAGCTGGCGGGATTTGCGGGGCGGGTGATCAGGTGGTGATCAGATGGTGATCAGGTGGTGATCAGGTGGTGAGCAGGTGGTGATCGGGTGGTGATCAGGCGGTGATCGGGTGGTGATCAGGTGGTGATCAGGTGGTGATCGGGTGGTGATCAGGTGGTGATCAGGTGGTGATCGGGTGGTGATCAGGCGGTGATCGGGTAGTGATCAGGTGGTGATCAGGTGGTCATCAGGTGGTGTGCTGAAGGCGCGTGTTTTGACTTGGCGACCGTCCGTAACACCCGCCAGGGGCGTGGTCCACACCAAGGCGAGCAACACACGAGGAACTATCACATCTAACGAACGGACTGAAAACGAACGCACCGCATGCGAGAGAGAAGGGGATGGAGAGATGGAGAGGCAACCAGGGAAGCTGGTTCGCTCACGTGGTTCAGTCCGCTGGGCAGTTCATATCCGTGCTGTCCGAACAGCACGCCGTCCGCCCGCTTGTACTCGTGTTTGAAGTTGTAGCCGCCGTCGTCTCCCAGACGGCCGGATTGGTAGCCGTACTGGTATGTCCCTGGCGGAGTGGTTCAGTGGAACTCATTGGTAACCGCACTGGTGTGCTCCTGGCGGAGTGATACAGTGAAACTCACTGGAAGTCGTACTGGCATGTCCCTGGCGGAGTGGTAGAATGGAACTCATTGGTAGCCGTATTGCTTGCCCGTGGTAGAGTAGTACAGTGGAACTCAAATTCCGCTCGGATGGTGCAGGGGGAGGAAAAAGCGCCGAAAGCATGTCTTGACTACATTTACACTTTCGGTGCATTGGGAAATAGTGATAGTGAATTGGCGGTGTGCATTCTAAGCTAACACCTTATGGTTGAGAGAGGCGAGAGCCCGAGATGTCATTTGAACGTCCCACACGACACCTGATCACACGACACCTGATCACACTCATGACATTACACGGTTTCTCACCGTCATCATTCTCGATCTTGTACTCGAATCTGTCGTCGGCCTTGATATCCAGAAGCAGCACGTCGTCCTCTGCCGAGTGGGCTTCGTCGTCGAACGAGAACTGCAGGCCATCCACCTGGGCGCCCTGCCCCCGCACGGGGGAGAGGAGCGCGACGACGACCGCCACCGAACAGCAGGCCTGGCGACACGGAGGCGAGCAGTGGCGGTACACGGCGAGACCAGCGGCCACAGGGCCAGGACCACAGCGCCATGGGATGTCTCTCGCTCTACGCCGATGTGGTGAGGCTTACAACCATGGAGAACACGGCAAACGGGTACGGCATGGACATGCACGGGTTTAAGAGTGCGCATTGACGACGTCCTCAACCGCACGGGACTTCTCAGGCAGTGGGAAGGTGGTAGGATCGTCACGGAGAGTAAGCGGGTGCACGTCGTGGGGTTTTCTCGTCCTGTGACGGGCCCAGTGTGGGCAGATAGGCGGACAGCGCACTTAAGCTCTTCGAGGACCGGAGGTTAGGACGCATCAGGGTTTCAGGCCCACACATGACATTTTCTGTGTCCAATTTTCGTTGGCGCGATGATGAGACAAAATCCGCTCGCACGCTTCAGCGAGCGTTTATAGCTGCGTTTCGGCCATCATAAATTATCCTGACAGACATATCGCTCGCCACTGGCTGCCAAGGATTCCCGTACACCCAAATCTCCGTCATCACACACAAGCAAAGTGGCGAGTCATGGCAGGTGCGGGAGGGCTGCCCTGCTAAATGGAGGCCCTCCTCACCCTTCTGCGTTAGGAATCCTCTACCCCTGTCAGGGACACCAGGTGGGAGGGGCACCGACCCTGGCCATCGCGGGTCTGCCCGAAATTTTTGGAGCAAATTTTTGGAACAATGGAAGACTCATGCTTAGAGGGGTAGCTTTGCTCCGTCAAAGTTCCGATCAATGTAAGGTGGTATGCCATCAAGATGTTTCCGACAAAGGTGTTTGTATAAACAGACTTCCCTTCACGAAAACGTCCCACGCCGCAACTCGGGCACTTATGTCGCTTGCCTTTCTGAACAATTTTCCGAGCTCTTTTTAGTCAAAACAATGTAATGAGGTTCTGGCCACTGTCTTTTAGCGGTCCAGAGTTGAGAATAAAGGCACACAACTTAAGTCATGCTAAGTCATCCTTGGAAACTAAAACAGTGCAAATGAGCCACACTAGTTCGACGATAGAGGTTGACCTTGAGCGCGCCCCGGAAGCTTGAAAAAAGACATTTAACTGGCTTTGACATGAGAAAGCCCTTTTATTGGCATAAACGTACTGCCAAAGTCATGCAACTCGTCTACCACAAAAGCAAGCACTTCTTGAGCGTTTCAAACTTTTCGACATGCAAGTGTGCTTGCCATATTAGTTAGAGTTAGAGTTGCGAGTTAGAGGAGATAACAGAATGCGCGCGCGGTGGTTCTGATCGTCCCACTAACAACCCACGACTAGTGGTTGGCCGACTGGCTGGTCTCTGGCGCCCGCAGCCAGCACCGGCGACGGAGTTCAGCCGCGGGCATCGCCAGCCACGCTCGGCTGAACATGAACTGCGAACGGCCTGAGCTCAGCGACCGGGACGGCAGCCTTCCACCTGCGTCTGATCCGGCTGGCTGCGCTGTCACGGCGGTGGTAGCCACCCCAGAGCCGCAGCGGCATCAGGCGCGGCAGGGCAGAGGATGGGCACCGAGGCTGGATCAAGCGCGGCAGGGCAGGGGGCACCGAGGCGGGATCAGGCGCGGCAGGGAAGGGGCAACGAGCCTGGATCAGGCGCGGCAGGGTAGAGGATGGACACCGAGGTTGGATCAGGCGCGGCAGGGCAGGGGCATCGAGCCTGGATCATACGCGGCAGGGCAGAGGATGGGCACCGAGGTTGGATCAGGCGCGGCAGGGCAGGGGCATCGAGCCTGGATCAGGTGCGGCAGGGTAGAGGATGGACACCGAGGTTGGGTCAGGCGCGGCAGGGCAGGGGGCATCGAGCCTGGATCAAACGCGGCAGTGTAGAGGACGGGGGCCGCGATACGGCGGTCGTTCACAGGCGGCACCGGCCCGCTGCCCGACCACCGCGCAGTGCACTCACCTGTCCGCTCTAGTGATCACCGGGTAATGCCAGACGTGGAATGGGTGGCGGACTCCACCAGCACTGACAAGCGCAATGCTTCAAGAGTCGCGTACGTCTCGGCCGGCCACATGCCGCCGCTCGAAACGGGGCTCTCGGCACGGACCTAACCAGAATTTGTCTGCCAAGAATCAACCATCAGCCACCTCCCGGGAGACGCAGACATTCTGCCCCGCTACCGGGAGGCCCTCACGCCTTGTCCGCCCCGCTACCGGGAGGCCCTCCAGTTCTTAGTCGCCGGCGCGGCGGGCGGGTTCGTGCCCTGCCGTGCGCAGCTCTGGTTGTCTGCGGCTGCGCTACCGGCCCGCCCCGCCAGTCATGGACCTCTACAGGTGTTTGAACCGCGTGTGGTCGCCGCCGGCGGCTGTGGCGAGCGATGCCAGCGCTGGCGGCATCGCTGGCGCGGCCTGTGCCATTAAGCGCTTGGTTATAAGTGGAAGGGTCTCTGATGAGAGATTTCACAAGACATATACGGCGTACTCTGGTGTGAAATTCCTGCCCATGGGGGCTCCTGCCCATAAGTATTGACCTTTCCGAAAATAAGCTTCCCCGGTTCTCTTCTTGAATTGAAGCTCGTAATGTTTTAAGATACCGCCTTTTCCACTTCTGCCTTTTCAAATGTTTGTGCATTGCCAAAGGATGCAAGGTGATGTCTGTAAATATGTTCGCAATAAGTGTGCTTGAGTTGTTGAGCCAAAGGCCAAAGGGCAGCTACATTAAACCCGTTCAGGAGGGCCGCAGATACCGGATGGAACACTCAGCTGGAATTTTTGCTGTTTGATAAAAGGGCAGCGTGTGATTGGAAAAACCTGAGCCCCTCCTAACACGCTAAGGTTGGGTGATGGGCGATGATGAAGGTGGCTTCAATCTCCTTTTTGGACACGCAAAAAGATGGTCTCAACATGAACGTGTGCTTTCAAGGACGCTTTAAGCCATGGATGTAGTGGTTCAACATTAAGTAAAAAATAGTTAAGATGCTGTACCTAAGAAAATTGTTATTTGAGTAAAGAAAATGTCAGGCATCCCTCCATTAGACGTGGGCAGCACAACAAATATCATATATATATATATATATATATATATATATATATATATATATATATTTATGTAAATATATGTGTGTGTATAGGTTATTTTGACAAGTCCGTGAAGGGCGTTAAGTTTCAAATGAGGATGCCAGCTTCAAAGCCACAGCAATTTTTCAACTCGATTCAACACTTAAGTATTGACAGAATGCATTTGCTTTCAGTGGAAATGCGAACTTATGAGTTGACTTCGGTAACTCAGTGTGAAATGCGCATGCATGCAAACCACCAAAATTCTGGGAGTTATGTCGACTAAAAGCAAACACTGCGGTTTTGTGTAGGAACAAGGAAATCCTGTACAAGCTGGGCAACTCAGGATATTTGTCATACCTAAATCTCGAGATACTCTAGGCACCGTAATGAAATAAAACGTATTTATATTGAAGCACACCGTTACAGAACAATTCTCCAAAACGTGTAGCGGGGCTCGTTTCAGTCTAAAGTTATGGTGAGTATGTGTGTGGCGGCTTAGCCAGACGAACTGTAAGTCTATTTCACGTTTTCTAAATCGAAGCGCATGCTTTTTGTTATCTATAACTAAGTTATGTCAAAGCATGGCCCACTACCAGCATCGCATCTGCCTAACGGGCGAAGTTTTGACAACAGTGACCGTTTATTAAGTTAGCACGTCATGCTCGTCCCAATTCGTATTTTACTGACAGAGCACACAATCAGCGCGCATTCGTGGTACACGGACCGAGCATGTGGGATGCCAGTCAACCGCACCTACAGCAAGAACTTCGAAATCTAAATTGGACCCTTCATTACGTATAATAATTAACTGCCACGCATAATGGCACAAAACATGTAACAGTTTGTTATCGATAGCTTCATTTACTCCAGATACTTGATTTGGCCTGCCTATTTTTGCTTGCTGCACTGCTTCTAACATTTGATGATTATTTCTGCAGACAGAGCAAACGTTCCGACACGCTGTACCCATAACGCTTGATGGCGAAATTCTTGGTACGTTATCACGACTGCAAGGTGATGGCAAATAACTGGGAGGTTTGGGTTCCGAGCATGGTGATGCTGCTGCTTGTCATCAAAGGAGGAGATACTAGCGATGTTCCGTTAAAACCAAGGTTGTCGTACATTTGCTGACGTTTGCATCTGTGCTAACTGCTAGCACGAGTCTGCTCACAACTGCCATGCCGTTTTGACAGCGGTCGAACTTTCAAGATAAAAAGCAAATTGGGGACAGCAGCGCGGCACAAACACAATGCTGTGAAAGACTGCGACGACAAACGGAAACACATCCTAACAATGCAGCACCTGCTGTGACACTAAACCATTATCATGCCACAGTTACGAGTCAGATGAAGGGCTAAGTGAAATGCTGAGAAGCAAATACTATCAAGTACGTCTGATGCTGCGGTTATGCGTATCCTTAGCTAATCGGTTTTCAAATAGCGTACTGGACACCTTGCGGCGTAAGTGTAGCTGTTCACTCCAGTACCGGTCAGCGAGGATAATCGCGTGCACATGGTATCTTGACACACAAGCCCATCCGATGTCAAGGTTGTAACTTGTGTTAAAAAGTCTCAGATACTCCATGTTACAGATCCACTTTCTATGAATGGGTATATAAACATAGCTTCAAACCAGATACCACGCACTGCTCTTTGGAATCAAATAATGCCACTCTTCGACTTGAATCAGCTTTAGTCAGCAGATGGGTTAGAAGGCACATGAAAAAGGTCAGGACGTGATTTGACCTCACTTGACCGAACGTGACAGGCGGATTTGGGTTTGTTTGGGCTGGTGGGATTGGGACCCTTCGACCGGTAATGGCCATTTGAGGACTATGGG